AAAACAAAATTTAGCTTTTAGCTGTCGGAAATGCAATTCGAAAATCGCGTACGCGTTACACAATCAACTTTTAGGTTCGTAGCTAAATCACCTACTTTTTACAACTGATATGCTATAAAATGCCCCGTACAAGAATATCGAAAATTTTTGCTCTTCGTTCACGTTTATTTTGAAGGCATCAGACTCTGTCGTCAGATTTTTATGCCTTCTAAACCACAACAATTTTTCAGTAATGGAAGAATTCTCAATTATTAGCAAAATTTAAGCTGGTGGGTCAGGAACGGAAAAATAATAAAGTCGCAAACGCTTGAAGCTGTTTTGCATTTTAGCCGGAGCCAGCGCGAAACGGCCCGGAGGATCAAAACCGACCGGAAGGAAATCAGCCGGGGCACAATCGACAGCAGGAGCAGCCGCAGCAGCAGGCTGCAGATGCGCAGTCCGATCAGTTCTGGTAAAATTTTCGAATTATGCTGGAAATCCTGTAAGACGTTTTGCCGGAATTGTTTCGCATCTTATGAAAACTGCACATCACAATCCGAGTACATTTTTATTCAAAATTTCAATTTGCAGGGAGCAACTTGAAGAAATTGAGCGGCATACGCCGCCACCGTCGGAGCGTCTCGCGCAACCACCACCGCCGCCAAACCAGGAGGATTTTACAAAGGGGCCGCGCAAGCCAAGAAAACGTTCGCCTAGTGATGAACCCTTCAGAATACCGCGCCGCGGGGAAAACTGAACGCGCCGATCTAAAGCGCGACGATCTTTGATTACAATTATTATTGTCGCATATGCTGTTTTAAATGCAAATAAAATTTTTTTTGGTTAAAATACTCAAACACCACGCTTTCTATAGAATGCAGCTTCCACGAGCCTACGGATGCTGTTTGAACAAGAAGCATTGCAACTTACCGCACAGCAGCTTAAACACAAACTACTTTCAAATTAGCTCTTTTTCAATTAATAGAACCGCTTACTAGTAAGTCACGGAAGTATCAACAGTCATCGAACACATGTATAACTCATAAACCGGATTTACATTCGACTGACTGATTCTCCTTCCTATACTTTTTTGCATTTTTATAAAAATGTAACAAGTAACGGTGCACGCCACAGTTCAGCTTTCTGCTTTCTCATTTGGGCCAAAACTTCGTGGTCGTACGCGAGACCTAGGCATTCCTTTTCAGAATAAGAGGCGGAGGAAGGGAAAAGCGAGTACTAATGCTGATCGCAAGAAAATTAGGTGTCAATACAGAAAGGCTGTCTGCACTTTAGCTATCTCATAATTCTCGCCTTCAACTGCTCAAGAGTCACCTGACACATTGTTCCTAGTTTGCCTCTGAAGCTGGATGGACAGCTTGTACTTAATTGATCAGCTCAGTTATTGTGTGACAAAAATCAGTGCTTTGAAAAAAAAAA